TAAATTCCCTAAAGTATTTTATTAGCCGATCCATACAGGTCTTCAAGAACACCCTAGAGAAAACAATAGTACACTGGCGGCTGGCTTGGGCTGGGGACTTTCATTTGGAGACAAACAGTATTTCCTATTTGAAGATTTGGATTTTCTGATTTCAGAATTACAACTATTTAATGATATTCATAAAATATCTAAAGCATTTTTATACAAGAGGGCAAATGATGAAATTACGAATCAACAAAGAGCTGCTTAAAGCCCGTTGGTACTTACAAATTAACGTTAACTGGCTGCCTCACACTACAAATCTTTTTTTTTTAACTTTATAGAAAAGTGAGTTCCAATGTAAGTAGAAAAAATCATTACAAAAAAAATAAAGATAAAATAAAAAAATACAAATTAATTTTCCAGTTCTGAAAAGAACTTACTTTACTTCCACTAGGGACTGACCTACATTTTAAGTTCGATACGATTTACACAAAATGATACATTAGTAAAAAAGTACAATAAAAATAAATAATTCTTCAGACTTTTTATATGTCACAAGTTCCAAAATTGGAAAGTTGTTGTTTTTCCCTTTTTCTTGTCATTTATTTTACTCGTTTCTTTTTTCTAAATATTGCCAAGGCAATGGACCAGGATCATCCATTACTTTATAATCCCTACCTCAATCTTGACAGAATGCATATTTTATCGTCATTTGAAGTTCACATGTGCCAGGAGTCAAGTGCTGGCAAAAGCATAGTAGATTATTTCCACCATAAAAAAATATGGAATAGATGCAGATCCATGTCTAAGTCTCTTGTGTAATCCACGATGCGTCCACCACTCCACGCACACAGACTCCTCGACTTACAAGTCCAAACCTTGACTGGAGGTTTTTACCTAAAATGGAAGTGCAAACTGAGGTAATGTGCAGACACCTTGTAGTCAAGACGAGCCAATAATTCATCCAAGTACATCATTTCCTCGCGCAAATACTTGTACCCTGTCCATAGGAACAGGAACATAAAATACCCAATAAGGCACAGATAACATGCTACAGTTTGGCAAAAATTAACCACACTCGGGGATTAACCGTATCAAAACAACAGGCAGCCCACCTAGATCAGCCAAGCCATAAGAGGCCCTGTGAGTTAGCCGATCCTATTTTTTTCTTTCTTTTTTATTTATCTGAACCCTGATTGGCACTCAGCGTTGAGCACAAAGACCGGTACAGAACTGGGACCCCAAGGCTTGGAACCTTGAGAATCCCCCAGGAGGGCCATCAGAATCAGGAGGGACTGGGCTTCCTCTTACCATCAACATTTTCTCTTCAACCCCCCCACCCTTTCCCTTCTAAATGGATTTTAAACACCACATAAACTTGAACATTTGACTTTTTTTTCTCCCCTCCCCCACTTTTAAATCTATCCTTGTCCTGTTGCTCTGACTACCATTGCGAGACACCATGAGAGCTTTATAAATGTACCCTGACTTGCAACTATTTATCATCTAACAAAAACAAAAACAAAAAAATAATAATAATAATCAACAGCAATATATAGCGATCACAGTATCAGAGGAGAAAACGCATTATGGTAATGGAGAATATACATACCCATACACAATTCCACCCACAGTCTTCCAGAAAATTATAAAAAATAAAACAATAAAAATCTGTAATTGGAATTTTGGGCCCATCATTGGCTCTCCTCTTGGGTGAAGTATCTGGCATTAGGCCCATCTCCATTCGTGCTGAGATAAAACCAGTCACTCGGAAAGCTATTCCCCGAATCCTGTTGCATGAGAACCACTTACGATAATGGAATATCTCTCACAGCTGTCTGACAATCTTAGTTAAAAGAAAAGAATTAACGAATCATTAAACTAATCTGTAATTCATTTCTCAATTAAGATTTGAATTTTCATGAGGGCTATTTCTGCCACGGAGTTAACTTGATATATATATATATATGGGACCTTTGCTGACAAACTGTTATACAAGAGCCCTTATGCATGTGCTGGAAAACTATGAACAAATAATCTTTTTATATATATTTACAGCTATTTGGGCAACAGTTGATGGCCTGAGAATATCACATTATTTTGCAAGTTGCATTACAGAAAAAAAAAAAAAAGGAAAAATAAATTATAACAATCTAATTGCATAATAAAACTAACAAAAATGTGTTGGCTTGGGAGGCCCAGTATGCAATTCAACCAATAAATATATCATTCCATTAACACCCACATCTCGTAAGAGAATTCCCTAATAAAAGAAAAAAAAAAGAGATTGCCATATTTCACCCTCTTTGAGTTTGGCAGCAGTGAATAAACTGAGAAAAGAAATATGTAAACCTGGATTACATCCACAGGCCTTGGCCTAAGGTAAGACTACTGAATAGTAAGCAATTTCTGGCATATAAAACACTTGAAAAGAAATTTAATAAACAGATAAATCCTGAAATATGTAAACCTCCATTGGATAATACCCTCCCCCCTCCCCCTTTATCTCCATCCCTTTTAAATCCCTTTTCCCTCTTTCCCCTTGCCATCTCCCCTCCCTTTGCCCTGAGCACCCACACAATGTGCCACCTTGTAATTAATGTTACCCAGGATTAGATGCTGGTAATAATATTCCAAAAAATTTATTACAATATAGAACAGAAAAAGCCTGATTGTCAGGCAACAATGTAAGAACCACATCCTCTCAGCAGTTCTTCGGGAGTGACTTGCGTCTCAACAAGGGAACTAAACAGAGCAGTGCAAGGCCTGGCCAATCAGACACCGTTGGTAAATTTGATGCTGCTGCCAATTCAAAGTGCTTTCTTTTGATGCGTGCTCCCACAGGTTGGGTGGTTGTGCCCTTCCGCTGCCGAGCCCTACGCAAATCCGAGTAGTCCCTGCAATTTACATGTAGTCATCCAGGTCAATGTCATTGAAGTCTTCTTCCAGGTCTGCCAGCTGCTGCAAGTCAACCTTGTAACGTAAGATCCCTGAAAAAAAATAAATAAATAAATAAAATAAAGAAAATCATTTATTAATATATTAGGCAAGACCCAAACAAAATACACCTCTCAATTTTAACTTCACCGTCTTTTTTGTTGGAAAATTCCAAAAATTAAGTTGCTTTTTTCTCAAGAAAGTTTAATATAAATTAAAATCATACCCACACATTCAATCAGAATAATGCACACTTGCTAGTACATGAACGCACACTTATTAGTATGTGTATGGGCACGCTTATAAACATATACACACACACACACGAACATTTAGAGGCTCTCAAGTACAAATGCACACACCCACTCACACCAATACCACCCCCCCCTCCCAAGCACAAAGACAAGTACCCACAGACAATAATACACACATCTCAAAAACACAAATGAGATTCAAACAAATTATGATAAAAAATGCACACTTCAAAAAATGCACACTTCAGTTAGTAGCAACATGTTAGTAAGGAAGTTCTCTTGGTGTATCAATCCCATACAGAAAGGCACAGTTTCCATTTCAGCTGATATTTAACCACAATTTTTGCATGAGGACATATCATTCTATTGGTCTCAGGTTCATGTAATATCCACTGTTGTCTTTTGCGAATCTTGTTGCACACAAATCCCTCCACAAGTGCTCAACCATAAAGGAGTCAATCAGAAGGCCTTACATGACATCTGATTTCCCCATTCTTTGACTACAATTTTTGCTATTACTGACATTAATGATTATCATACTGAATTAAAACAGTATTACCTATAAATGACAAAGAATCTTTCCCAAAATCAAGGAAAAGCAAAAATAAAGATATGTAAGGCTAATAATCAACTATTTGGTGACAAACACTAATGGAGCCATCTGTGTAAACATCATTAATAAAGCAAAATTCCAGTGGACAAGGCATACATGATATGCTATATGCACCCAGTGGGTTAACACTATTGATGCTTGATGGTGATGGTACTAACTAATGCGATGCTATTGATTTTAGTACTACTCCGCGCTATTGATGTTAGTACTACTCTGGCCTACTATTATTGATGCTTTTAGTACTACTGCTATTGATGCTTTTAGTACTACTTATTGATGCTTTTAGTACTACTCACCGTCTATTGATGCTTTTAGAGCTATTGATGCTTTTAGTACTAACTGCGGGTGCTTTTAGTACTACTGTCTACTGACGCGCTTTTAGTACTACTGCTATTGATGCTTTTAGTACTACTCCGACGCTATGATGCTTTTAGTACTTCCGACGCTATTGATGCTTTTAGTACTCGCTATTGATGCTTTTAGTACTACTCCGACGCACTCCTTTTAGTACTACTCCGACGCTGCTTTTAGTACTAACTTACTACTGATGGTTTTAGTACTACTCAGACGCTATTGATGGTTTTAGTACTACTACGACGCTATTGATGTTTTTAGTACTACTCCGACGCTATTGATGTTTTTAGTACTACTCCGACGCTATTGATGTTTTTAGTATTACTCCAACACTATTGACGTTTTTAGTACTACTCCAACGTTATTGACGTTTTTAGTACTACTCCAACAATTACAACAGATATTAAATTTGGAACTTTAATGCAACTATTAGCCCCTACAATCTGGATGACGCTACGGTCCCGTCATGGAAAAATCTGGGTCAAGGGCTAGGTGACGTGAACATGCTGCCATCGGATAAAATGACCGCTGGCCAGGTGACAAAAACTTGTCATCATGAGCAAAGGCAAAGGCAGAAAAGACTTCCCGCAAGTGCACAAACCTCTTAGTGTGATTCAACTCCTTTGGTGTTTAGAAGGGGGCTTTAGCATTATTCCCATTGATAAACAATAGTGGAATGTAACATGTGTAAGCTATGACTGGAAGAGCCACGGCTCCAGGGAGGACACTATTTCCATGCTACGCACCATATTCCTGGCCGCTGTGACCAGCGGCACAGTACAAAAAATTTATTCTTGCATTGAGTTATTTACTACATGAAAAGATGATATGGAGTCATGGAGCTATCAGCATCTGGATAAAGAAAATCAAAAGACAAATATGGACATTGGAAAATGGCTAAAAGGCTAAAAAAAAGTTTACACAAAACAACTTAACAAAGGGGAGGCATAGTCGCCCATTCTACACATCGCACGCCCGATCTACGCATCGCACGCCCGGTCTACGCATCGCACGCCCGGTCTACGCATCGCACGCCCGGTCTACGCATCGCACGCCCGGTCTACGCATCGCACGCTTGGTCTACACGCTGCACGCCTGGCCTACGCGCCACATGCCTGGCCTACGCGCTCCACGCCTGGCCTACGCACCCCACACCTGGCCTACGCACCCCACGCCTGGCCTACATGCCCCACGCCTGGCCTACGCACCCCACACCTGGCCTATGCTCTGCACACCCAACCTACACATCGCACATCCAGGGTGTTTGCTACTTACATAACCCACTGCCTGTATTTCCAGCACCATGATTTCCATGACAAGACCAGATCCAATGGGTTAATTGAAGAAAATGATTCATAGGACATAATTCTTTACGACCATAGTAAGAAAAAGAAAAAACAACTGAATATTTAACAAAATGCAATAAAGGTATTGCATAATTCCTAGGGTTATTAACATAACTTAATTTTAAAAATCTACCCAATGCTGTAGTGTAGTGTATTATTTTGTGTAAAGTCAACACACAGATGGCTCAGCAAGTGCTTAGCTACAAAGGAGTCAATTTGCAGATCTCGTGACCTTGCCTGATTTCACATTTCCTTGAGTTTTCAGGATAAAATTTTTTTTAACTAAAGCTATCAATATTGCTGCTGCTACTCTGATATTATTTTTAATATTATGTTACTGACATTTCTAATAGCAATATAAGGTTGAATAAAGTCTTTTCATAAATCAAGGAAATGGGTAAACAGGTGAGATACCGAGTAGTTGTAACTGGCTCACTGCTAAAATGTACATACCTTTATTGCGATTACATACTACAAGAAACTACTCTACACCAAAAGAGCATAAAATCCAATGCTGTTTAGTGCCAACTAAGATATTTGTATGCTGTTGATAATTATAAAGAATTCAGTATGGCTGACTTCAAGAGCTGCATTTTACCTGTACATCAGCAGAAATGGGTTTGGAGCCTTTCTACCAAATGAGATGCATACTGGACTGCATTAAAATCAAAAGTAGGGTCCCAACTTCCCTCATTACAACAAATGTAAAGGAGTTAATTGTTTCAATCAGTATTCACAAGTTATTATACAACAAAAATTATAATGTTTTAATTCTTGTCGTGAAAAAAATATGGAGACAAAAAAAAAATCCAAAAAAAATCATAAAAACTCAACAAATTTGGATACTAATACATTAATCTATGAAGCTTCTTAATTCAACACACAACACTTTTCCTTAAAGTATAGAATGTTAGCAAAACTTCTCACGCTATATCTCCCTTCCCCCCCAAAAAGCAGGAATAATAATTTCATTTTCAAGGTGTCGTTTGCCAGACAAGTCATAGTTTGGGCAATCCACATCACCTTAAAGGGAATATTGCAGGAAAAGGGACAAAAACAAAGTGTTGAAAACCCGCCTACAACTGACCCTACAAACGCTAAGGCAGGGATACTATTTAGATGTAATCATCAATATCAAGGTCCAGATCTCCCAACTCCTCCAAGTCCTCGAGACATTGGAGGTCCACCTTGTAGCGGAGGATGCCTACAAAGGCAAAGTACAACATGAAATGACAATCTGCACCTTCTATTCTCTTTTGATTTTTTTTTCTTGGGGGGTGGGGATACAACAATCTAATCTCATTTGAATATTAACCACTAGCCGCCAGGTGGCATGTCCGTACATGCCATGGTTGTTGTGGACTGAAATAAGGATGGCATCATATAATGACCTTTCAGGCACCATTGGCTCGTCGGACAGTTTGTTTTTCTCCGATAATTGCGGCTTCATTTATACGGTAAAGTTCTTAGGCAACATCACCTATAATGACGGTAAACATTCAAAGTTTTATAAATTATAGCAAAATGAAAGCTTTTAGGTCCCAAATGTCGTTTGCAAACTACCGAACAAGCTGGGTGCAAATGGGAAACTGCCAATACATGCCAACATTCACGTTATTACATCCACTTGCCAAACTTTTTTACCCAGCGGCATTAGGTTAACTGATGGAGTAATAGTAGTAATATTTCTGCACTTAGATGGGCAAACTTCCTGATTTTCTTAAGACATGGGAAAAAAAATCTGCACAATAAAATACTCACACTTTCACATAAAAAGTATTGTGCAACTAATATATAAGGATTCTAGTGAACATTATACATAAAATGGAAAACCGTTATATTTTAATATGTGCACTTCTATTGATATAACTGTCTGTAAAAATTTATTTTGAAAATTTTATCAGATCTTTATACCTTATTAGAGAGAGAGCGACAAAAAATGCAAATACATTTTCATCACCCCTTGTTGTATGATGTACTGCAACTTAAACTATTAACTTCAAGCTATTTACTTAAAATTCCAGTTTATACATACTCCAGTAATGTAGCCTACTCACTTTTATCTTGAATCAATCTAGCATATTCCTGATATCAAGATGCAACATTCATCATTCACCATTTACCATCATCACAAATCAAATAGAACAACGCTTACCTCCTATGCCACCAAAACCTCGTACATACTGCGATCCTTCTTGCGATCGGTCGGTGATGATTTCCAAGGTGGATCCAAAGCTCTTGTAGTTGTTGGCAAGCCACTCTAGCAATGGCATAGAGTCCACTAACTCAAGTTCTACTCCAGTCTGTAACAGAGAAGAGTTTGTCATTAATCCAGCTATCATTACAGCATTTACCTTTACACAGACAAAAAAAAAAAGTATCACAATCAACACTTACAAAGTTACATAATTCAATCTACTTACAGCTTTGTCGGTGAAGTGGGTCTTGTCTTTCTCCTGTTCAGGCGTAAGATGCATAATGGTCTCCTCACCCGTTTGATGGTTCTTCAAGATATATCTGGGGAAGTGAAGGAAATATACCCATATTAACATATAGAGAAACACCAAAATAAATATAAACATAAACACTGCTCAGCAGTCTCTTGACAGTGTACCATAGTGCTTACCTAACAATTTCAAGGTTTTCCCAGCAAATAAGAATCTCTACTGCTCCACACTCCAAAGCTTTTAGTGTATCATCAACACCAAAACAGTATTTGCCAGTGTCTTGACTGATTTCTTCAAAGTACTTGCCTGAAAGATAATGAAAAATGTTAATTTACCTGAAAATCATTTATGTTAAAAAAAACACAGTATAAAGCTTAACACTGAGGTTGTCAGGATTAAAAGGAAGAGGGAAAAACAAGGGGGAGTGGACTGTAAGAGCTGCAGGGGAGAGGGAAAAGAATGTGAGGAGGAAGAGTTATAGCAAGGGAGGAAGGAAATAGGGAGGGAGAAAAAGATGTGCAGGAGACAAAGGGTGAAAGAGGCAGAAGGTATAGAGGGAGCAGGAAGGTATAGGAGGGGGAGGATGGTATGCAAAGAAGGTTTGGGAGGGGAGGAAAGTAGAGGGGGAAGAAGGTATGGGGGGAAGGGAAAAAAGGGGGGTGACGGTACGGGGGTGAAAGGAATGGGGGACAGAAGATATAGGGGTGGAAGTGTAGGAGAGGAGAGAGAAGAAGAAAGAGGAGAGGAGGAGGAGGAGGAGGAGGAGAGGAGAGAGGGAGGAGAGAGGAGGAGGAGGAGAGGAAGGAGAGGAGAAAAGACAGAGGAGGAAAAGAGAGGAGGAGGAGGAGAGGAGGAGAGCCTGGAGGAGGAGGGGTTTAGGAGTCAGGTAGAGGCTATACGAGTGAGTAAGGACTGGACCAGTAGAGAGCTGGAGGGTAGAGGGAGTAGGAGTTGCGATGTAGAGTGAGTAGGAGAGTAGAGTGGAGTAGGGAAGATGTGATAGTGAGATAGAGAAAGGGAGTAGAAGTAGGAGGAAGAGTGGCCAGTAGGTACCAGTAGAGAAGAGGTAGGTAGGATAGGAGGAAGAGAAGAAGAGTGGTAGAAGAGGAGGAGACTGTAGTTAGAAGAGAGAGAGGGAGGAGAAGAGGAGGAGGAAGTGAGTAGAAGGAGAGGAGTGGAGTAGTAAAGGAGATGGAGTAGAAGAGAGAGAGGTGAGGTAGAAGAGGAGAGGAGGTGGAGTAGAAGAAGGATGAGGAGTGGAGTAGGAAAGGATGAGAGTGTGAGTAGAAGAGGAGGAGAGCTGGAGTAGAAAGGAGCGAGAGTGAGTAGAAGAGGAGAGGAAGGGAGTTAGGAAAGGAGGAGAGCTGATAGAAGGGAGAGAGGATTGGAGAGAATAGAGAGAGGGAATTAGAAGAGGAAAGGTGGAGTAGGAGAAAGGGAGAGAGTGAGTAGAAGAGGAGATAAGGAGGTGAATAGGAAGAAGAGGAGGTGGAATTAGGAAGAGGAGGAGAGTGAAGTTAGAAGAGGAGGAGAGGTGGGATAGAAGAGGAGAGAGTATGGTAGAAGAGGAGGATGTGGAGTAGGAGAAGGAGGAGCGTGGATAAGAAGAGGAGAGGATGGAGTGAGAGGAGCGGAGGGAAATGTGGAAAGATAGGGAGGAGGAAGTGGAGTGGGAGGAGTAGCAGGTTTAAGGAGACAAGGAGAAGGAAGATTAGTCTCAAATATCGAAAAATGGATAAATGTGGAAACAAGAAGAAAGCGGATGTGAAGAGGAAAACGATCGAAAGGAGAAGGAGCTAATGAGAAGGAGCAATGAAAGCCGCTGAAAGGGAACAGAGAATGTGAAAGCGAGAAGAGAAGGAGAAGGGAAAGATGAAGGAGAATGACTGTATACGTAAGGACAAGGAATCTCGGAAGGAAGAGCTAGAAGGCAGCCATAGGATACCGAGATAGACAGAGAGGGAGAGTAATGAAAGGAGATAGATGAAAGGGAGAAGGAGAAAGAATGAGAGTGAATAAGGAGAAGAATGTTGGAGGGGAGAAGTTAGAAGTAGAGGAGAAGGAGAAGTGAGAAGGGAGGAAGATAAGGAAAGGAGAATTGGAGCAAGGAGAAGGGGAGTAAGAGAAGAGAATGGATAGGCAAGAGACAGAGGAGCGAAGACAGATAAGCGAGTAAGGAGAAGGATGCAAGTAGCAAGAAAGGAAAGAGAAGTATAGACATCGAGAAGAAGAGAATTGGAGAAGGAGAAGGAGAAGGAAGGAGAATGAGATAGGGAGCGAATTAAGGATAAGTGAGTGAGAAGGACATGTTAACACCCCTTAGACTTAGCCGAGAATGCGGAAGACGTGGTAAGAGAAGGAGAAGATAGCGAGATATGAGAAGGATAAGAGGAGGAGGGAGAGGAGGAGGAGGAGAGGCATAAGAGAACAGAGAAGGAGACAGGAAAGAGAAGGAGAAGGAGAAGGAGAAGAGCGAGAAGTAAGTGAGTTAAGAGGAAGATGAAAGGAGCAGAAGAGTAAGCGACTGCAAGAAGAGAAGGACCAGCATAACAAGCCTATCTCGAGGTCCTGTGAACGGAGAAGGAGAGGATGAAGGTAGGAAGAGAGGTGAGGAGGAAGAGAAGAGAAGTGAGGGAAGGAAGACGGAAGGAGCAATGGAGGGGAAGGATGAAGGACGGGAATGATAGATGTGGAAGAGAAGTAAGAAAGAAGACACTAAAGAAGAAGAAAGGAGAAGGAGAAGGGAAGGAGAATGGAGGAAGCGCATAAAGGAGAAGGAGAAGGAGGAGAAAGGAGAAGGAGATCAGCGATTAGATCAGAAGATTAGGAGGAAGGAATAGGATGAAGGAAAGGAGAATGGAGAAGTAGGAGAAGTGAGAATGAGGGAGAAGGAGCGTAAGACTCTTTGCAGGAGCATGCCAATCGGCCTTGCAATCGAAGGAAGGAGAAAAGAGAACGGAGAAGCCGTATAGAGAAGAAGAGAGGCAAGGAAGAAAGAAGGAGATAGGAGAGGAAACGAGAAGGATAAGAGAATGGTGAGATAGGAGAAGAGGATGAAGGAAAAAAGGAGAAGAGTAAGAAGGAGTAGGAAGGAAGGACAAGGAGGTAGTAAGAGTAAGGAGAAGAGGAGAACGACAGAAGAGAGACGAGGATTGGAGAAAGAGGCAGGAGAGAGAGAGAGAAGAGAAGGAGAAGCGAGAGGAGAGGAAAAATAAGAGAAGGACATGAAATGGCAGCAAAAGAAGAGAGAGAAGCTGTAGATAGTAGAAGCGTAGATGGAGAAAGGGAAAGAAGAAGGAGAAGGAGAAGCAAGTGAGAAGGAGAAGATAAAGGAAGCAAGAAGGAGACTTTGTAGAAGAAGAGAAGAAGGAGAAGGAGTGGAGAGAGGGTCGGAATTAGATGAAGGAGAAGGAGGGAAGAGAAGCGAAGAAGCGAGCTCGGGAAGGATCAAAGGACGGGAAGAGAAGGAGAAGAGAAGGTAGGAGAAGAAAGGAGCAAGGAGAGGAGAAGGAGAAGAGATAGAGAGAAGGAAAGAGGATAAGGAGAGGTGAAGGGAAGGGAAGGAGGAGAAGTAGAAGGTGAAGGAGATGAGATGTAGAAGGAGAGGAGAAGAGAGAAGAGAATGGAGAAGGAGAGAGAAAGAAAGCGAGAGAAAGAGAAGGAGATGGATGAAGAGGAGAAGTGAGATGGAATTAAGACGGAAGGAGAAGAAAGGAGAAGGAGAGGAGAGAGAAGGAGAAGGCAGAAGAGAAGGAGAATAGAAGAAGAAGGAGAAGAGAAAGGAGAGGAGGAGTTAGGAGGAAGCGAGAGAAGCAAGGAGGAAGAAGAAGGAGAAGGAGAAGGAGAAGGAGAAGCAAGAAGGAGAAGGAGAAGCGAGAAGAGAAGAGAAGAGGAAGAAGGAGAAGGAAAGGAGGATGGGAAGGAGAAGGAGGAAGAAGGAGAAGATAAGGAGGGAGGAGAGAATGGAAGGAGAAGGAGAAGTAGGAAGGAGAGAAAGAAGGAGAAGGAGGAGGGAAAGAAGGAGAAGGAAGGAAGGAGGCAGGAGGAGAAGAGGAGAAGAGAGAAGAGAAGAGAAGAGAGAAGAAGGAGAAGGAAGGGAAGAGAAGGAGAAGGAGAAGGAGAAGGAGAAGGAGAAGGAGAAGCGAGAAGGAGAGGAGAAGGAAAGAAGGAGGAGAAGGAGGAAAGGAGGAGAAGGAGAAGGAGAAGAGAAGGAGAAAGAGAAGGAAGAAGAAGGAAGAGGAAGGAGAGAAAGAGAAGGAGAAGGAGAAGGAGAAGGAGAAGAGAAGGGAAAGAAGAAGAAGAAGAAGAAGAAGAAGAAGAAGGAAGAAGGAGAAGGAGAAGGAGAGAGGAGAAGAGAAGGAGAAGGAGAGAAGGAGAAGGAGAAGGAGGAGAGGAGAAGGAAGGAGAAGAAGGAGAAGGAGAAGGAGAAGGAGAAGGAGGAGAAGAGAAGAGAAGAGAAGAGAAAGGAGAAGGAGAAGGAGAAGGAGGAGGAGAGGAGAAGAAACAAAAAGTGAAGGTGAAAGGAAGGGAGAAGGAAGGAAGAAGAGAAAAGAGAAGGAAATTGGAAGAAGGAAGGAACAGGGAGGAGGAGGAGAAAATGAGGTGTAGTTGAAAAGGGAAGGAGGTGGTTGTGTAGGTGAAAAGGGAAAGAGGTGAAACAGAACAGAAAAGGAGAACAAGAAAAGAAGAGAACATGGAATAAGAACAAAGAAAGAAGTGAACATGGAAGGAGAACAGGAGAGGAGGAAGAGAACAGAAAAGGGAGGAGAGAGACGAGAGGAGAACAGAAAAGGAGGAGGAGACAGAAAAGGAGAGGAGAACAAAAAGGAGGAGAGAACAGAAAAGGGAGAAACAGAAAAGGAGAACAGAAAAGGAGGAGAACAGAAAAGGGAGGAGGAGAACAGAAAAGAGGAGGAGAACAGAAAAGGGAGGAGAACAGGAGGGAGGAGAACAGAAAAGGAGGAGAGGAGGAGGAGAACAGAAAAGGAGGAGAGGGAAAAGGGAGAGAGAACAGAAAAGGGAGGAGAGAACCACAAAAGGAGAGGAGAAACAGAAAAAGGGAGGAGAGAACAGAAAAAGGAGAGGAGAACAGAAAGAGAGAACAGAAAGGGGGAGAACAGAAAAAGGGAGCGAGAGAACAGAAAAGGAGGAGAACAGAAAAGGAGAAAAGGTGAGGAGGAGAACAGAAGGATGAGGAGAACAGAAAAGGGAGGAGGAGAACAGCAAAGAACAGAGGAGGAGGAGAACAAAAGGGAGAGGAAACATAAAGGGGAAGAGAAGAACAGAAAAAAGGGGAGACAGAAGGGAGAGAACAGAAAGGAGGAGAGACAGAAAGAGAGAAGAAAAGGAGGAGGACACAGAAAAGGAGAGGAAGGAAGGAGGAGAACAGAAAGGGAGGAGGAGAACAGAAAAGAGGAGGGGAGGAGAACAGAAAGAGGAGTAGAGAACAAAAGGAGAGGAGCGAGAACAGAAAGGAGAGTAGAACAGAAATAAGGAGGAACAGAAAGGAGGAGAACAGAAAGAAGAGAGGAAGGCGAGAAGCGAGAACAGAAAAGGGGAGGAGGAGAGGAGAACAGAAAAGGAGGAGGAGAACAGAAAAAGAGAGGAGACAGAAAAGGAGGAGGAGAACAAAAAGAGAGGAAACAGAAAAGAGAGGTAGAACAGAAAGGAACGGAGAACAGGAGGAGAGAACAGAAAGGAGAGAGAGAACAGAGAACAGTAAAAGGAGGAGAGAACAGAAAGGAGGAGAGAACAGAGGAGGAGAACTGACGAACAGGAGAGAAACAAAAGGGAGGAAAACAGAAAAGGGAGGAGGAAAACAGAGAAAGAGGAGGAAAAAAAAAAAAAAAAAAAAAAGAAAGATGCAGGAGAGGTTGACAAGGAAGAGGACCACATCAAGATGGTTAAAACAAATAATCTATATGCGAAGGAAGAACATTTATTGTGAATAAGGAGGAGAAGGTGTAAGTTCAGAAAAGAACTGAATGCAATCCTCAATCCTTACCAATAAGTTTCTTTTCCTGGATAAACTTGACATTTGCCAGAGATTCTGCAGCTAGTTCAATGGCCTGGTTGAAACCATTCTCTCCTCCATATGAAACATCTACCAACTTTATCACCTTGGATTGTAACCTCTGTAATAACAATAAAAGCAATTAAGCATGAACATTATGAGTTATATAGTATCTGATTAACCCACCCGCGCCGGGTACATTTTGTAGCCCAAATTTAAAAAATCCGGGAAGCTACAAAATCGGCGGGCGGAGCTTCCCCGGAGTCTGTCCGCCCGCCGGCGCCGCCTCTTTTGCCGCGGAGCACGGCTCCGAGACAGCAACGCACTGGCGGGCAGCCCGAAACTGTTTATTTTTTCCTTGTGTCTCATATATGTGACACCCGGGACGAATGGGTTAAGCATGGACATTATGAGTTATATAGTATCTGATCAATTGTATTTACAGCAAAAAAGTAAATTTCATATTACAAATATAGTCGCACCTATACAATTACTGAACAAAAATGGACACTACCATGCAAACACACAAAACGAAAACCTGACAACTGGAAGAGAATAAAAATGACATCCTGAATTCTGCAAGAGTTCCTTATCGGACATGGTATAATTTGAAACTCATTTAATTTCTGAATGAGGAACTCTCTGAATTTGGAAGATTATGTTTTTACTTTGCTGCTCCTATTGTGGCAGTCCTTCATGTCTCTCTCTCTCTCTCTCCCTCTCTCACCATCACATGCACACATGCTCAATAACTCACTCACTTACTCATGCCTGAATGCACCCACACTCCCACACTTCTCCCCTAAGCACATAATTCAAATCACCTAGGCACATATAACCAAAGACAAAAAACCTATAAGCTGTTTAAATAATTGAATGAACTTTTACTTTGTATTGTCCATAAAATGTTTAAAGATGGATAACTTACCGGATCAAACATATCTGACTGTGAGAGTTCAGTCTTGAAATCTGCAGACCCCGCTAATACCAACCCTGCAATATTGGGCTTGTCGTTGGAGATGAAAAGTTGCACTGCAGTCTCTGCCACCTGAACAAGACAATGCATTTTAACAAAATTATTCGGGTGCCTCAAAATTGAATCCCACATTCCCCAACATTTATATATGATACACCTTTCAAGTAAACCTTTAGGCTGAAAAAATCAAACAATGTAAGGAATATCAGTTGATACAATTTTTTTTTTACATTTCCTTTCTCAATCTTAACAAATCAAAGAACGTTAAAGATAATCTTACGTAACATCTCAATTTTTGGTGAAAACATATTAGATAGGTAAAAAGACAACCTGTAACCTTACAATTTCTCCAAATAATTCTGATAATTCTAGGCAATATAGGTAACTATCCCTTTTTCCTAAGCACATAATGGAAAAATATGCAAATGTGAAGAGCTTAGTTCCATAATGAAAATCTAAATTGGGATCCATGTATGGTTTTCTCATACTGCATTTTTAGTCTCTGCAGAAGCTGACACCACCCAGGTACTGTCCAGCTGCAATCTCCGTCTCCAGAGGAAATGCACAACCGACGTCGCCTTAAGTAGGGACCCATAATCATCAACTTTCCACAGTGCAGGTGGCACACAAAAAGAAGTTAGTGGAAAGAAATACGAATGTGAATCAAAACAGGAACAAGCTTATTCTAGTTAGACTCATCTTGAAAACTAAATGGTAAGCTTAAAGTACTTTCATAATCTTAAATCAACATCTAATTTACTTGTAAACTACCTTTCATAGTCTACTGAATTAAGAATTCCCAGTAAGCAGATGATGCTTTCAATCTCCTGTTAATGTAAAAAACACAAATCTACTTTGCAACAAGGCAAGTCAAATAGAAAGGGAGATGATATAAACCTCATACTAAGAGATACAAGAATAAATACAAGGGATCTTACCTTTCTCACATAGTTGTGCCGCTTCTCCATTCGTAAACGTGCAAAACGTAGTGCAGACTGACCACCACGACCTGTTGGGGCATAGTTTTTAATATTGTATAAAGAACTTATTCACTCATTCCAATATCAACCCCTACAATCAGGGTCATATGACCGTCCCATCATGGAAATATTTGGGTCGAGGGCCATCATTAGACAAAATGGCAGTGGGCCGGGTGGCACAACCTTGCTATCATGAGTGTAAGCCAGGGTGATGGAAAAGACTCGCCAAAATACAGTGTGAGTGTGGTTAAACTCATTTGGCGCTTAGAAGGTGGCTTTTGCATTATCCCCATTGATAAATGAATGTGGAATGTAATGTACATAAGCCATGACTGGGAGAGTGCTGGCTCCATAGAGGACACTTTTTCCATGCTCAGCATAGTATTTCTGGCCACTGTGACTGGCAGCACAGGTTGTATTAAGGAAATTTGAAGAAAAAAAAAAAAAAAAAAAAAAAAAGATATGAGACACAAATAAGCAAAGGTTACTTCTTTTTTTCCCCACTGAGTTATGTACTACATAGTGATGATATGGAGTCTGCGCCAGGAAATTAATCTATTCCCATCTGGATAAAGCAAACCAAGGCATATACGGAATTTGGAAAATGGCAAAAAAGCTAAAAATGTTTACACAAAATAAATGCAAAGGGGAGGCAAAGAGTCTTATCACCACTCACAAGCGTTCCTGCGTGACTGGGCTTTGCGCCGCACACCCGGGGTATTGGCCACTTATGTAACCCATTGCCAGTACGTTCGGCATGTGATTTCCATGACATAAAAATCCAATAGGTTAAGAATACAAATGGAAGCTACATTTCTCTTTATAGAGTTAAACCTTTGCATTGTATAATAATGAATAACAACTTATAATTCACAAAAAATGACCAGATGCAATAGAGTATGTGCATTGCTTTATCTGTTCTTTATACTCTATATTGTAGGGAAATTAGTTCAACATTTAAGAGGACTTTCAAAAACAGATTTTTGCAATGTTGCTTCCAATCCTTATCTAACAGCCATAACCATAAAGGATTCATTTCGAAATATTCTATCACATACATCTTAAATGGTACAGTGAATTTCGTGGATGGCCATATTAAAAAGAATACTTAAAGTTTATTTTATATTTCATCACTGCACAGCTGCCTAACATACATAATTAACTGCCATTATTATTAGAAAAAACAGAAGATGACACGCTGATATGTTGAACAACAAATCCTATAAAGGTAGGATTAACTACTAAACAGCAGTTCACATGTAAAGACATGGGGTTAACAAACAATTTCCTGTTTCACCATAAGAGTATGTCAGATTTATGAAGAATAGTGCAGCAGGCACTTCCACCAGCTATATGCACCTGAAGGTGCATATAGGAAGCCAAAGTATCAGGAAATTAGTGTAAATAGTAGGATCATTCTGACTGATTTGTACCAGTGGGTTAAACAACAATAAAAATGAAAAGAACAAAAAGAATATTTTCTAACCGTGTTTCTTCGGCAGATCAACAGTGAATTTGTGTAGAACCTCTCGCGTGTTGCCTTGCAATGTGCCAAAAAGTGCTCCGTTACCATCCATAACAATGAAGCCAAATTTGTT